TGCTTGCCATAAGCTCACTAAATATTTTTTTCTTGCGAAGTGGCAAATGGAACGCAATATGCATGGCTCACAGATTCACAGTCACTGAAACAAATCCAACAGCATGCAGTTGTCATCAAGAAATATGTCTAGGAAAACCTCTACAGCCACGCAGTTTCAGCACAGCATGCGAGTACCAACCAGTTCTTCGATATTCAGACAAAGAGATTGCCATATATAGTGCACATGAGGAGTGCTGTCCTTTGATTTCTCCTTTTAGAAGAAATCATCCTTGCAGCTGTTCTCTATTGTCCCTCTGTCTTGAATATCTTCTTTATTTAAAGAGACCCTGGAAATCAAAAATAGAGTCAGAAAGGGGTCTTTGTCTGCCAGTATTAAAATCTTGTGAGTCATGTTTTCCCAAATCTTTCACAAAATTCAGTCAGAATTCAGCTCACAGCTTCAACTTCAGGAATACTGTGAAGGTGACTACAAACAATGATATTCATTTAAAATTTGAAAAGCTCATTTAGGCTGAAGTGTGTGATATATTCGCATATATCTCTTTTCCGTTTCATTTACAAAGAGCAACAGAATTGTGGAGTTGAACAATAAAGCTTGAAAGGTTTCAGTTCCATTCCATTTTCAAGATGCAAATGAGGCAAGTTCTGAAATCTGCAACCCAGCTTCTACTTGCTGATTTTAATCTAAGAAATGGCATATTTACTAGGCTACTTACTTAAATAGAAGGTTTACTTAAAAACAATATCTCACTGTATTAGAGTTGCAAAGATTTTCAGACCCGTAACATTGCTGTTCTCTTCAGAAACAAGGAAATATGCAAATAAGTTGTTATTTATAATAAGCTGCCACTTGCTATGTTAGTAAAATAATTATATTTACCAGTTAATTGACCTTGTGTGCACAATAGGGACGAAAATAAAGAAATGATGCATGAAAATTCAGAGTAACACTGGATTGGATTGATTTGGAAAAGTATATTAACTGTTAATTTTCAAAAATAGCAAGCAATTAATTGCTGCTGTAATGAACATTTGTATTTTACTCTGGCAACCATACTGTGTTAACATAATGCATTGCAAGTCAAGGCAGACCACTTGATTGCAGTGTTTGCACTGTAGTAAGTGCAGTTTTGGTTTAATGTTAAATTTTCATCTCAAATGTTCTCACAGGAATGCAGATGTTGTCCTATTTGTCGGTCTCGTTAAAACCTTTGTCATGTGAGTGCCAGTGCGTGTAGTAACACCTAATAAATTATGTAAAGTGTTGCAGTGTGCTGTACTTGTATGACCATTTCAATATACTGTAATTGTTTTCCACACTTCCCCCACAGGTTAGTCTGGCTTCCAGCAGAGGCAGAAGTGAATAACAAGCCAATCAACATACAAAATGTTGAACAGAGCAGCTCAGCCACAGCCATCAGCCAAACATGAGATTAGTGTGTGGTTGCAGACAGGACGGTGAGTCTTTACACTTGGCTTCCTGAGCTTTGCACATCTGCTTCCTGTGTCTTCTGAATCACATTTCTGTTGTTTATTTGTCAAAATAAGTTGTTTCCATGTCAGCAATGGATGATTAATACCATGGCAGAGGTAGGACTAGGTTATGTTCACTACAAATTACCACCTAGGGTCTTCATTTTGCCTGTTTGGAGCTTTGGAACTGTATCTTGAGGAACTGAGGCTGAGCCCCCAGTCTTGATTCTGAATGGTAACTGCAGGTAATGTGGATGATGCTGACCAGCACTTGCAGTGAGCAGCACGTAGGGGACCCTGCTCTGATGTGTAAAGGCACTTCTGGGTTTTCATGAGGAAGTTTGATTGCATTTACAGTGTGTGATTCTGCCTCTGCTGTCCCCAAGTGGTACATCTACTGTGGTAGATGTGACTTTTGGAGGCTGCTGTCCAAAGACATTTAGTTTGTGGCTGAATGAGTTGTCTGTAGAACAAACCTGGGTCTGTTATTTGCACTGTGGTACTTGGAGGACCTGTTCTTGGTAGATGTTTTGGCCTGTGCCTTTCCACGGATCCCACTAAGCGAGCACTTGCACTGGTGCCAGTCAAGGAAGCTCCTTTCTGTAATGGGAAGAGCTGGCACTGCCAACTGAGCTGAAGCCACAGGTCCTTCTAGATGGGCCACTCTTTACAGATTTTAGAAGGTGGCAAATTTCAGTCACTACTAGCCTGTGGTGGTTTAGCCAATAGTTTGAAAATTAAAATCTCTGAATTGTATGGCAAATCCCCTAAGGCATCCAGCATGGTTTTTTTGTGATTTAACATGTTTTTCCCTCCATTTTTTTGCATTTCTGGAATTCACATACTGTAAGACTAGATGGATAACTGCCCATAATTTGGCTCAGTTCTGGAACAGTCAGGTATCTACAAGTTAGGAAGCATTGACTTTTGCTTGTGTAGGTTGGTGCCATTCTGTGAAACATGTAGAATGTTTTTGCTGTATCTTTTCCAAAATGGAATATTTTACAATCCTGCTCTAGTGCAGTACACCCTTATGAAAGCAGCTAATCTGTGCTAGTGATTGTGTAAGAATAAAATGGAAAAAAAAATGAACACAGGAACTTCTCTTCTCTGAATTTATGGCATTACAGTCCTTCCCATGGCAACACAGATAGTCAGATGGTTTGGTAGCAAAGTACAAGCAGGAAGAAAAGGCAAACAATGACAGAGAAAAAAAAGGCAAAGAAAGCAATGTGATTTTCTCTCAAAATGTAATAACTAAATGGTAGAAGAAAATCCTTATAAATGGTACTGTCTACTTGTAAAGAATATCCTTCATGTGTTCATTTCTTTCTATTAGACTGGCTTGTCTAAAACATATACAGAAAGCCCTTTAATATCCCATTATACTGTATACTAAAGCATTCAGGTCTAATACTATTACTGATAAAGAAACCAAAAGCATATTTACAGAGACTGAATGTCTATAAAGAGCAGATCAAGCAAGTCTCTTGAGAAAGGAAAGTCCCATATCAGATTATTGCATGAAAAAAATAGCGTGCTCATCTCAATTACAGCACCAGTTGGGTTTATTTAAAAAGGAAGTAATTCTGGGTTTATATCATAAAATCACTTTTTTAAGCCTGTAAACATCCAATAAATTAAATTTTTAGATAAGATCCATTTTGCAAAAAGCTATTTATGAAAAGCTTCAAATAATAATTAGAGAGGATTTAATAACCTAATCACTGACTAATACTAGCACACAGTAAGTACTCTGAATTAGATCCTTCTGTGGAGTTACTGTTTTACCTCATCTCATTTGGCAGTTTATTATACAATGTAAGTTGCTCAAGCCTATAATCCCTACACCAGTGAATGTGTGTAGCAGAAAAATTCCGATTGGAGTCTCTTGAGTTTGTAAGTAAAAAATCTTTAATAATGTTTGTCAGGGTAACAATCTAGCTGAACCTAATGCAAAAGCAGAGTACAGTGTTATACTGTAAATGTAAGAATATTAATATCTGAAACATAAAAGGAAGTTATGCTGTTTAGCATAAAATAGACAAATTCAATATTGTCGTTATGGTAAAGAATAGTAAAGCGTTTTCTTTAAAACTATGTGCATATTATGGCTTGTGTTAACTTTAGTGCTCTACTAAACGTTGTAGATACTCCACTAAAGATAATATCAGCCCTTTTGTTTATTACAATGTACTTTGAGTCAGACCCTGGAATTAATTTCATTCCTGGTCATGCAATTTACCTTTGAATAAAAATGAGTGAAATGTCACCCTGAGCCTGGCAAGAGAGAGAGAGGGGTGGTGGCCCAAAATCAGAAGCACTAACACAGAACAAGTTATATCCCTTAGAACTAAAACTACCACTCTTACTACTTGAATCTTTTCTAGTGAGATTTAATTTAATTTTTAAGAACTTCAGGGCAGGTTAATGAAGGTCTACTCCGGTAATAGGCACAAGGTATTTAAAATGGGTCAAACCAAAACCCTAGACAGACCACTGCAGTACTTTGGGACTTCAAAATCCTGAACGAAACTTCATGTGTTAGCAACACTTGGCCATTCTTGCTCTTAGAACTGAAGCTATCAGTGGTCACTCCCACCATCCCTCATATTGGAACTGTTTTCAAGGAAGAAAAAGGAAAAATTAAAAACTGCCAGATCAGCAACATGGCCACTTCCATAGGTACTCCTCAGGTGTCATTAAAAAGTTTCCACTGGAGTGGTGATGTGGCAGTGATACAGCCACAAAGATACAGCTCCTAATTACTCCAAGTGGTGTGTGCCCATCGAACTCCACCTGAAAGGCAGTCAGGTGGCCATAACAGGGAAGAGAGAAAACTGAGGATTTTTAGGCTTCGAACAAAAGAGTTTTAAAACGTGTATATATATGCCTGACACAAAGTTAGCACTTAAAACCCTATGTAATTGCATGCACTGTGCTTGTGGAAGTGTCTTATTGCCACTGCATTGCTATTAAAATGCAAAGCAAGTGCAAGCATGTCATGTTTATTAAACCACTAAAAAAAATGTTCCAACAGCGTTATGGCTTCTGTTTTCAAAGCACAGAAATGGGCAGGGCAAAGAAGGGGGAGGAATCAGAAACCAAATTCTCAGTTTACTCTTTCGTGCCTCATTATTGGAACATACAGCGTGGATTATGTAGTCCTTGGAGATGACTGCAGTAATAATCTTAAGGTTTAGAATAAATGATCTCAAAGTACATTGCAAATTTAACAGTTTGATATCAGACTTAAGCACGAGATGACTGCAGCTATATCTGAGATTTTCTAGGGAAAAGGCATACAGCAAGGGAAGAATATGTTCTTTTTTTTTTCCCCCTCTAAGAAACAGCAAAGGAATCATAGGTGTGCAGGATGTAATTATGCAGGCTGAAGTGAGGCCACTTCACTATAGCTAATTCCTTGTCCTTTACAAAATGTGCCACAGATGATTAGGTTGTCAGCTTTAGGTATCATCTGCAAGGTGGCAGCTCCAGTAGCTTACCCAACAACGTGTCCAAGTTTTCAGAGCGTGGGATAAATCCTGGCAGGGCAATGTGCAGCATTTCTCCTCGGTTCTTCATGACCCCACGTTCTGCATCAGTAGAGCTGTAGATCCAGTGCCTTCTCATTCATGCTTTCAGCTTAAAGTTTCCATTTATTAAATCAGCCCTTCCATTATCATCATTTATGTACTATTCATACATCATTTCTATCTATTGTAGTACTTCTTCCCAGGATTTAAATAACTCTGGCACCAAATAGCTTGTGCAATCTGAACAAAGAGTCTTAAGCCATCAGAACAGCTTTATCTAAAACATACGTACAAACAAATGAAAAGAAGAACATTATTTGTGTTCTTTTTCTGTTTTGTGAATAGGAGTTATGCAGGAATAGAGATACTCAGCATTGAGTACCTTCTGGCAACAGTCAGATGCAGCCCCAACATGAAAAAAGTTGCTATGACTTCAGAATGAACTCTCTCTGCAAGTTCTGGAGCTGTTCCTCACTGTCCAGTTAATTACATATCTTCTTATTTTTTATTATATCTGAGATATTGCTAAAGACTTGATAACCTTGGGCTTGTTTTAAATTTTAGCTCTCTCTTCTAAATCCAAGCGTTAATTTCAGTCTGTTGCTAACACACCTTTCTGGTTAACGTCCTTTGCTCTTCTTTAGCTGTTTCTTTCATAAATCTTCAGCCAGCCAGATATCACCAATCCAGCATCCTGTCCAGATTTTTAACTTGAAAAACTGCATTGCTGCCATTTCTTTGCATCAGAACTGTTGGATGTTGTGCAACATCACAAATTGCTCTGAGATCATGAGATAAAAATAGACCGTTGGGAATCCAGGAGAGATTTAAGCCAGTAACCACATATAATTCTTGCACTCCGAAGACTTCATTGCAGATGCAGTTTTTGAGAGAACACGTAAAAAAAAAATGTTTTCAAACTAAAGCTAGGCTCAAACTTGGAAATTCCCCTTCAAAAAAAACAAAAGTCTACTATGTTAGTAGAGTTGTGCTAGAAAAGAATGGATATGGGGGAAATATGAGTGATGTCTAAGAGGGTCTTCTCCAAATCCCCACTTTTCCTCAATAGCTCTCAGAGAGCTGATAGAGGGATGGTTCTGGTCATTGCAAGCAGTAGTAGAATGCACTTTAACCTAGGTTTTCTTAGGCCCTTGTGCAGCAGAGGGTGAAGCTCCCAATACACATCTCCCTCTTCCTGTGTATATCTGAATATGTATATCCAGAATCCTGCTGAAAAAGTAAAATGGGAAGCACTGACATCTATATTCTTTGATATAATGTGTAATGACCCAAGTTGCATGAGCTGTGGCAAGCCCTTGCATGTGGTAGGTGAGGAAAAAGGGAACGAGGAGCAGCTGCTATTTAGGCATATTTTACAATTACAGTAGTTTTGTTTCATTTCAGTTTCAAAGTGCATATTGTATGTCAAGTTTTGATGAATGTATATTC